GGGCAGCGGCGGTGCCCACCCAACACGCCCGGGCGTGGACACGCACGGTGAACTCGGCCCTGGGCTGAGCATCTTTTTATTCTACTCTAGAAGTTACTTCGTGGGATCTCTCTGTAACAATCCCACTTCACAGACAGGGAAACTGAGGCACAGGACGAGACACGCTCTGCCCAGGGCTGCACAGGCCTGGGCATGTAGGCGGTGGCGCCCTGGTTTAAACGCAGGCACGGGGGCTCTGTGCTCTCTGCCTCCGCTCCGCAGCTCACGCACGGCCCGCTCCGGGTCACAAAAAGCCTCGTAGCTGGCCCCACCCGCCACCTTGTGGGCCCGGAGGCTCCCTCGGCCGCGGTGCTGTGAGGAAGCCCCATGAGCCCTGTGAAGAGGCTGCCGGAGACAGGCCGGCAGCACAGCGGTTCCAGGCGCAGGTGTGGGGGTGCAGGATCTGCCCCAGCAGATGCCACAGAGAGAAGAACCAAGGAACCAAGCTGGCACCGGAACAGAGACGCACTGGTGGCCCCCATGAGCCAGGCCGGTTATCCCAGCCTCCGAGCCAGGGCAACAAGCACGCCCCCCCAACTCTGCCCAATACCCAGATCCACAAGTCCAGACCTTAGTCAGTGAGTGGTCATTTTCTGCCACCAAGTTGTGGGGTGGGTGACCGAACGCCAGGGGGTGGCTGGCTGGCTGTCCCCGCCGCGGGTCCAAAGCCAGCAGCAGGCTCAGGGAAGCGCGAGAGGTGCAGGAGTGCACGCACGTGCCAGCCCCGCGTGCCCGAGAGGGCTGTGCTCTGCCGTGGCCGCCGTGGCCTTGGGGACGGCAGCTACGAGTACAATCAACAGTGTGAGCCGGGCCGCGCCCCACTTCTACACACAGTCCCGCCCGACAGGTCACAAATGATGGTGCCACCACAATGAAAGGGGGGGCTGCCAGCGAGGAGACGGCAGCACGGAGAGGCCGGTGCTGGTCCAGGACACACGAGGGGAGAGTCCGTGTGGGATCCAGGCCCGCAGGACCGGGAGTGAGGGTCACCTGTCGCCTGCCTAGAAACCTGGCTGCCGCAGCCTCCTACTACCTGCTCTCCCATTGTCCCCGCAAATGGAATGGGGTGCCACCTGTGTAGAAGTGCAGGGGCAGAGGGAAGCTTCTGGGCCGGTGCCATGGGGCAGGCCTGCCGGGCAATGCCAGTTGCTGTGTGTTCGCTTGTTCATTCATTCATTCAGACACTAGCTGAGCCCCTGCCGGGGCGACCTGACACGGGGGCTGGGGCAGACGGGAGCAGACACACAGGTAGGCGGGTTCACCCACACCCCTCCCGCCCCCCTCCGCCCCGGCCCTCTGCCCCTCCGCTGGGAATGGTGTGGACAGTGCAATGCTGGAGGCGCAGGGCCGCGCTGCCCTCCCCGAGCAGCTGTGCCAAGCCCCCTCTGGGCAGCCCCAGTGCCCCCTTCCAGCTGACAGCCCCCAGCGTCCTTGATGTGTTTCGGAAGCAGCCACTGTCCCAGGTGCTGGGGCTGCAGAAGGTCGGGGGCGGGGTGCCAGGGCCTCCCCTGCTCGGCCTGCTCACAGCAGAGGAGGAAAAAGCAGCTGGTGTCAGCCCCGCCGAGGGCACTCCCAGAGGGGACGGGCATCGGCCTGCATCTGCCTGCGGGGTGTGAGGCTGCACCAGGAGACCGCGGCAGAGGAGCCGGCGGGGGCCTCGGGTCTGGCCTGTCGCAGCCGATTTCACGGCTGAGTGGGCTGGAAACCACCGGGGCTGCCCATGGAGGAGGAGACACTTCCAGAAGGTCTGGCTAGAGCACGAAGGACACCTCACACTTCTGGGCCCATCCTGGCCATCCCAGAAATGTCTGGAGCCTGGATGCCTGCTCCACAGCCAAGGCGTGGGCGGGGTTGCAGGGGGGACTCTTTGGCGCAATGCTGGGGGTGCTCCCGCGGGGGCCGAGAGGGTTAGGTTAACCCCACTCTGTGGAGCAGAGACCTCTCATGGAACGGACACAAAGGGATTGAGCGCCCTCGCCTCAGTTTCCCTGCTGAACTGGCTGTTCAACAGACAGCTGCCACCTTTGGGTGACACCCCAGCACAGCGCCATTTGAATAACGGAGAGACAGGCGGGCTGTGAGCGCCCGGAAGTCTAGTTTAAAAAAGCAAGGGGCTGGATCCTTGGGGGCACGAATCTGCTGATAAGGGGGTGCTGACCCCCTTACCCGACGTGCTCGCAACCAGGCCCTCTGGCCTCAGAAGGCGACCCCCACGTGGACGCCCGCTGCTCCGTGGCCAGCAGGGCCTGGCTCCCGCCCGCGCTGAGGAAGTCTTTGTAGCGGCCCCAGGGGAGAAGTCGGAAGTTTGACTTGAAAAAAGGAGCTACTTCAAAGGCATTGTCAGGCCGAGGTGAGGGTGCCTTTAAGCTGCATACATTACAGGGGGCATCCACTTATCAACCGTGGGGCTCTGGATGGGGGGCGCCAGAGGGATGAGGGGGGCACAGTGGGGGTGGTGAAGGGGAAAAATACACCTTGAATAAGAGAGTAAATTAATGTGTTTATTACTCACTGTTTGGACTACGTGCGGGCGTGTGTGCGTGTGCGTGTGCGTGTGTGTGTGTGTAGAAAAATGAAAGAAAAATGTAGAGTTTTTTCAATAATAAAAAGGGAGTTTGCACTGCGGGGCCCCTAAAGCTTGTGAAAAATTAAACTCGACGGATTCAAACTGTCCTATTTCCACTTCAAAAGGGAAGAGGCACTGAGCTCTTCCGAACTTAGCTTCAAACGCCCAGCACCCTAGAAAGTTTCTTTAAAAAAATAAAGGCCGCTGTTCCCCCAAGCGCCGTGCCGGTTACTGTGCCCGCCGTCTCTCCCTCCTCTAATTATACCCCTGTGAGTCTATTAATCAACTGGTAAATTATTTAGAGCGCCCCGCGCTGTCTTCGGCGAGTGCAAACACGCGGCGCAGGCTGGCTGCGAGCGGGCAGGGCCCCCAGGGCCCGCTCCGGCTAAGACGGCGCCAGCTCTCGCCACGGCAGCGCCGCTGCCAAGAAACCGTGTTCCGCTTCCCTCCTCCGACGGGGAGATTTAGTGCCTTTCAACCCCGCGCCTCTTCGGCGGTTTTAACAAAAGAGAAAAGCTGGGGTATTGTCGCACCTTTTGTGTGCATTTAGTGACGAGAATATTAATTCCCCTAAAAAAAAAAAGGCGGCCCTCGCTGGGCCCTGACGCCTGTCTCCCGGGACGTGGACGGGGAAGGCTCTGGAAAATGCTGGTAATCAGCCCAATTTGGGGCTGCTTGGGCTCGTCTGCGATACGTTGGGGCCGCGCGGTCGCTGCGGTGCCGACTCATTAACAGAGAAGTGCAAATTAGAGCCTTGACTCTCCCTCCAGCCTCCTGCCCGCTCGGCTGCAGGAGGCCATGAGGGACCGTCTCCAGCCAGAAATGTTGAGGAGAGCCGGGCGTGCGGGAGGGGCCGGACGCCACTGGGTAATGATCTGGCCTCCGCGTTATCTTTTCAAACATCGGGCCCTGCGCTTCTAGGGGAAAGTTACGGTGCCAATTAAAGAGCTGCGTCCCCCAACGACTGTGTCTCCTGGCAGCGCCCCCGGGACCGGCCTTCCCGTGCTAGACATGCTGCGGCAGCTGGGGGGGGGGGTAGGAGGAGAAGCGAACTAGTGGGTTCACTGCAATTTGGCCGCGAGGGTGGGGGCAGATGCTGGGGATCTCGGAGGCTCTCTCCCTGGAGAGGCAGGAGCCAGGAAAGCCCCAGTCTGACACAACTCCCCCCCCAATGGGCATGGGCACGCAGCCTCGCTCGCACCCCCACCTGCAGAGAGTTGAGACCCAGGGCGGACGGAGGGAGGACAGGGCCGGCGTCTCCGTAGTATCTACAGGCACAGGGGGCCCAGCAGCCCGGCTCTCTGGACTGCCCGGCCAGGCTGCGGCCGAGCATCTAGGATGGAGTCTCAGGATGCGCTCAGGGGAGGCCTTTGCGCAGGGAATGTGGAGGATGGACAGCAACGGGCACTAATTTGGCTGCTGACTCAAAAGGTGTTGTCAGGACCTGTGAGGACAGAAGGGCGCAGCGAGGTCTGCAGAGGTCACCACTGGGATGCAGCCTGGGCAACCCCCTGGGGGCACAAGAGGAAGTGGGGGCTGGGGCAACCCAAGGTGCCCCCTGAATCTACTGAGCAGAGCCGAGATGCACCCCAAGAACAAGACTGCCCGGCTCTGGGGCACGAGGCTCCAGGGTGAGTGCAACAAGCAAGGGCTGGGCCTGGAGGAGGCCAGTGCTCAGGGGGCTCCGCCTGGCTTGGGTGGGGGCGCCAGTGGGGTTTTCCACACTGGTTGGCTGCATGGGGTGGGGGCTGTCCCACAGGGAGGTGAGGCTCTATGTCGCCACCCCTTTAGTGGGGCTCCTGAACCTGGGGGACTTCTGGATCCCACATGTCAATCACGTGCAAGGGACGAGGTAAGCAGAGGCCCCCAGGAAGCTGGGGAAACCGGGATCTCAAGAGTGCCCTTCCTGTGGGCGGGCGCCGGGAACACCTTCAACCATAGACCACAGAGGAGTCTGGAAAGGTCCTCTGGTCCTGCCTTCTCCCCCACACCAAACAGGTAAGTGTCCAACCCCTGCCGGTCAGCTCTCGCAGCTGCGGAGCTGAACCTCTGGCTTCTCACTGCTAATTAAATCTGGGCCTTTGCCCACAGGGTTTTTCACACCAAAAAGCAAAGGATGGGGCAGCTCAGTGACCCCAACCGGGCGCCAGTTCCAGGTGTGACCAGTCACGCACGCAGGCACTCTCCAGAAGCAGAAACACTCCCAGGCGTAGCGCCGGCCCAGCAAGTGCGCCAGCCCAAGGGGCCTCACCAGGACAAGCCAGGAGCTTTCGGTGGCCAAAGAGGCAGTGTGGGTTCCCGGCCTGTCCCGGTCTGAGCCCCAGGCCTGAGGTTCTGGGAGGAAGTTTCCCTTCAGAGCCCGCGGGGTGGCGGCAGCTGAGACAGCGAGGCCTACCTGTCCAGTGCTTTTCCAAGTAGTCCTGGATGACCTCGCCCAGCTTGCTCTGGTCGGCCACGGTCTCCTTCAGCAGCTGCCCGCAGCAGACTGGGGGACAGAGGGACGGGAGGCAGCGTCACATTTTATAGAAGCAAGAACGAGAAAAAAGGGCCGGTGCTACGGGCCGGGGGGCAAGGAGGGGTCGCCGAGCGAAGGTAAATAGCAGATGGGACTTGGAATTAAAGGTCGAGGAAGGAGGCTGCCGAGATGGCACATTTGGTAAAGAACAGGCTTAACGTGGACAGTGGGGGCAGATGTAAGCAGCCCCTCCCCCGGAGACGCCAGCAGGGAAAGGTGGCACTGTAATCACTAAAGGGGGTTCTGGCCTCACCCTGGGGGGCAGCGTCCGCCCCTGGCCGGCCAGCCCACCACCCAGACCTGGGAGCCTGTGGCTGGCAAGGCACGTGGACAGGGCGAGGGGTCCACAGGCGGGAGCAGCTCCTGGGAAGGCCCAACGGGGAGGGAGCTGGCCAGTTGCTGCGCTCAGCCTTCACAGGTGGGGGCCGTTCTCCCCACATCTGCAGGCCCCAGCCAGGCTGAAACACAGGCGTGTCGGTCAGCAGTCCCCCTGGAGGTGGCCACTCCCTGGCTGCGAAGGCGCTGGGGCCAACGCCAGGGGTTCAACCCACATCTCAGGGGCTGGTCATTGCACAAACTTGCTTCCTCCCAGCTAGGGAGGGGCTTTCTTCCTACATTAAAGAAACCAAAAGACAATCCCCCAGTGAACTGGATAGAGTGAATGTCCACGGCATTCACCAAGGCTGTTCCTCGGTAAGGATGTGCTGAGTCACCGTGGCCACGAAGCCGTGACCGTGTCCAGCTGGCGGGCGACCTCACCCGCAGCCTCAATGATGTTGACGGTTCGCATCACCACTCAGGGCCCGGTGTTGCCATGTGGGGAGGACGCGGACCTCCCAGCAAAGTGACCTGCTGCAGGCAGCCCAGCTGGAATTCACAGTGAGTGACATGGCACCACGGCCAGTTTCTAGGAAGGAGAATTGGCGTCCAGTCTACCTGCCGTCACCGCAAGCCATTAAACTGGACAAAGCAGATCCAGCAACTCTTTTCCAGCATGTGCGGACAGGCAGCCTGGGGGTGCTCCTCGGCAGAAGGAATGCCCCATGCACCCAGGATCTCCACCTACCAGCACTTTTCAAACCACGCACAAGGGTTGAACCCTAACAGAGCTGTGGAAACCAAGGCCGGAGTGTGGGACGCAGAGGTGCGGGGTCAGAGTGCAGGGCAGTGGAGAGGGCCTCCCGGGACCTGCGCGGGGCTTCACTGGAGTCTCTGGCAGATGCCAGGCTGCACGCTGGAAGGCGGGGCTCCCGAGATGCGGTGGTGAGAAGCCTCCGGGCACTTGCACCGAATGTAGACTCCCCACCGGAGACACTGCCTTCCAAGGAGAAGTCCTGCTGACCTCCCCGAGCGCTGACCACGACGGGGCAAGGCCGACCCGAGCTGTGGGATGCTGGCGCAGAGTAGGAACCGGAACCATCACAACAGAGACGAGAAACAGGCCCCCGCCGGCGCAAAATGATCCTCCAGTAAATTAACCGCCCGTCTCAAGTCTTTGAAACTCAATATTCTTAAACTGCACCCTGCCATCCAGACTCTCAGCTAGTAGGCACCACGACTCCAGTATGAGTAATTTTTAAAAAAACCTCCTTGAGGCACCAAACAAAAGACAGAACAGGAAAAGGTGACCTCTGCTGGGAGAGAAAACAGGCCATAGAATTAGACCAAGAGATGACACCCAGGTCAGATTAGCACACAAAAAACTACAAAACCAAGGTCCCAAACATGTTTAAAACTTCAAAGGAAAAGGTAATTAAAATGAGTAAACAGATGGAGAATCTCAGCAGAAAAGCAGAAATTCTAGAAGTGGAAAATACAGTGTCTTGAATGAAGGAAATCTCTGGGTGGGCAGAATCAGTGAATCTGAAAACAAGAAAACAGGGGGTCCAGACTGAGGCAGGATGGGGGGGGCCGGGACCTCAGGAGCTGGAGCGCATTCCTGAACAGTCGAGCAGACACGCTCTCGGAGTTGCAGAAAGAAGGGGGCGATATCTGAGGAAAGCGTGGTAGGCGAATGTCAAAGTTGAGAAAAAGTCCCCTGCAGATCCAAGAATCTGAGATCCCAGAAGAAGAAACACAAAGGAAACCCCAACTTGCTACGGCCCAGCTGATAAAGAAGAAATGCTGAAAGCAGCCGGGGGGTGGGTGGGGAGAAGACGCTTTACTACGGGGAACAGCGACGAAACCGCCTGAGTCCTCCCGGGAAGGGAGCGCACGCTGTGAGGCAACGGGGTGCATCTTTCCAGCACTTAGAGGACAAAACCCGTCAACATGGATTTCTACTTGTGGCGGCAATCCTTCAAGAAGTGAAATAAAGACGTTTCAGGCGGAGGCCAGCTGGGGTGTCGCGGGCAGCCTCGCGCAGCTAGTGAGGTTAAAGGTCCAGACCCCATCAGTGTTGTCTAGACAGTTAGAAAAGAAGACATGGCTTAAAAGCAAACATGAAATCTACTCCCCCCAAATGTGCAAATACGCGTATCTGTACAGCTCTCCAACAACACACACCCCACACAATGTGTGTCCATGCGCACAAGGCTACCCGTCCACCTGTCTGTCCGTCTATCCATCTGTCTGTCCAGCTGTTTATCCCAACCAGAAGAAGGATCAAGCTCTCGTTTCAGCAGCCCACAGAGCGGGTGGGGGTGCTGCCCTGGCCTATCCAGGGGGGGCCTTGGGACAGTGGCCCAGCCTCTCTGAGACCTGTTTTCTCACTCATGCTGGGGGGGGGGGGAGGCTAACACCAGCCCCACCTTGTGCTGGATGCTGTGAGGAGGGGCCACAGCTCCTGGCAGGAGGTGGCGCTGGTACATGTGAGTCTCCCGCATCCTTGCCTGGGCTGGGCGCAGCCGCCATTTGGTGGTTGCTACTCTGAGGAAAGGCAGGCCCCCGCCTGAGGCCAGGAGGCCATGCGGGGCTGGGGGGTCAGAGCCTAAGTCCCTCCCCCCTTCCAGTCCTCCATCCACCTGAAGGCACACAGGCACCCAGCCCACCGGGGACCGCCTGGGAAGGACCCAGAGAACTGATGTCAGTGTTTTCTCTGGTCCTGGTAAAATATTTATTGAGACTATGCCAGGCAGGGGTTTGCCCCTGGTTCAGAAACTGCTCCCTGCGAACACGCTGACCTGGGCAGGGACGGCCAGAGGAGCCGATGAATGAACCGCACCTCTGGTGCTTAAGGGCCACGGCCACCAGGAGACGCGGGGCAGGCCGGGCCCCCGCTGCTCCGAGGACAGGAAGGTGGCCACTGGAAAGAGCCTGGCTCCTTGGGGGAAAGCCTCCTCCCTGCAAAGGCGCGCTAGCTGACAGCCCCCAGAGCAGAGAGCAGGAGGGCAGTGAGCTGACACACCTGCTCCACACACCCGGAAGGCTGGGGGGCGGCTGGGAGGCTCTGGACAGGGGGGCACTCACTGTTGACGAGGCCATACTTCTGAGCCAGGAGTGCGGCCTGCAGACTCTTGCCGCTGCCCCTGGGCCCGCACAGCAGCACCCGGGGGGTGAAAGGCGCGTTCGATCTGCGGTTGCTTTGAACGAAGGTCAGGGCTAGGAGAGAGGATGAAGGATAACAGCTCTAGGCCCTGTTAATTATTCCCATTTACGGCTACCTGGGAGCCCTGCCCACCAGCCAGTGGCCCCGGGGGTGAGGCTCAGCGAAGGAATTCCACTGCAGGCCTGGCCCTGGGGCTGGAGGGCCCTAAACGGCTCACAAGCCCCCTGGAGTCCCTCTACATCACAGCTGGAGCAGCTGCACTGGCCTCCTAGCGGCTGAGTGTATCACTGGGGGGCCGGGCCAGGACATTCCAAACTGAGTGCCCTAACCTGGAGCCCCAGGTGCAGGCCGGCCTCCTTTTGTGGATCACAGGCCTTGGTAAGTCTGAGGCCATGGGGAGGCCGGGCCCCAGGGCACTGCTGAAGGACTGGGGAATTGGTGGAGGATAATTTGCACTGCACTTGGTGACGCCAGTGCGTGAGTCTCCAGAGAGTACACAGGGCCGCAGCGCGACAGAGGGAAGCAGCCCACCAGCCTGGGCGGCGGGGGGGGGGGGGGGGGTGTTGGGGGTGGTGGTGGAATGAACCTCAGCGGGTGGCCTCCCCCGGCCCCCTGCACAGAGGAAGGAGGTGTGAGAGGAGGGGGGACAGCTCAGCTCCAGCGAGGGTGGGCGCTGCCTGCTCGTGTGGTCAGGGCTGGGGTCAGCGTTCCCCTCAAACAGGGCCTCCCTCCTCAGACTGGCTCCTAAGGGGACCCCTGACCGAGGGTGCGCCTGACCCTGGACGTCCAGGGTTGGAGGTTCCCGTGTGTCCCAGGGTGCTGACCACATCCCTGGGGAGGGCCAGGCAGAGAAGTGCTGGGTCGGGTCTCTGCACTCTGGACACCCGAGCTCTGGAGGGTCTTTACTGAAGCGTCCCTGGAGAGACCCTGAACCCCTCTGTGACCTGAAGGCGCGGGGAGTCCACCTCCTGGTTGGATGGGGAAACTGCCCGGGGCACCGTGCCTGTGGCTGCTCAGCTAAACACCCTGCAGGCATCACCCTGGCTGAGAGGCCCTGCCTGGGAGGGACGGGCTGCGGGAGTGGCTCCAGGCCCACGGCCCAGGGACCGCCGGGCACCAGCGAGGCCGGCGGGAAGGAGAGGAGCCAGCCCTGCTCCCCAGGGTCCTCTGCAGCCAGCGCCTCGGAGCACACCAGGACGGGGCGAGGCAGCCTGCTGACAAACGACGCTTAATTTACAGTAAATAACTAAGTTAATTAGAAGTAATGATCCCCCAGACAGTCTCCACATCTAATTACTCTTTTCAAAAATATGTGGTTGCTGGATTCACTGCAGAGAGATTAGAAAACAACACAGAGAACTCTGCGTTCCAGTTTTCCATTTCTCTCTCTGCATTATTAATTAATAATAATAATATTCAGACACTCACACTTTTATTTACAATTCCAGGCATGAATTCTTTATGAACAATCATATGAACTTTTAGATTTAATTAAGTCATTTGGAAGTGATTAATGTGCAGAGGCAGCGTCCAGGCGGCAGATAAATGCTGCTGTGTCTACCTCCAGGGCGTGGCCTGCGCTGCTGAAGACCCTTCCAGACACCCCTGGGTGTGACGAGCCACTCTGAGGCCTGAGGTTTCCTCCCACCGTGGTTTCTAGACCCCGCCGTTCGGTTGCTGACCCTTGGGAAGGGGAGGCGGTGGGGCTTGGGGGCAGCAGAGCAAAGCCACGCCGGCCAGTGCAGGGAGGACAGAACCCCTCCCCGCAAAACAGCTCTTCAGACGAGCAGAGGGAATGTAGCAGAGAGGGCGCTGTCGCCCCTGAGGGCCTCGCTATCTGGTGGGGTGTCCCTTGCTTGCTTCCCCTGGGCTGGCCCGGCTACTAGCGTGGCTTCTGGGAAGCTGCAGACGCCGAGGTCATGGCTGCTCTGGGGCTGGGGCCCCTGCGTTGTCTCGCGGCTTTGCTGCTGGGCTGGTGGGCTCGTTTATAAATTTTCTCTCTCTTCTCCCTCTCTCCAGGACAAGACGTCCTGCTCCCGTGTCCCCCCACCGCAGCGTCCCTCACGGCGCCTGTCCCCACTCCAGCCACTGTCACGTCTGCTGACCACGCCGCCCAGGGGCAGCAGGGAGCGGGTGCTGGGGGGCCCCGCGCCTAGCCGAGGGGGGCCCCGGGCTGACCTGACTCCCGGGTGGCGCTGGGTGGGGAGGCAGAGGCGGGCCGGCCGCCCGCAGAGCTTACCCTGGTAGAAGACGTCCACGCACGGCTGGTCGGCGCTGATGACCTTCAGGATCCTGGGGTAGGAGGGGATGACCCTGACGATGTTCCTGTGGTATTCCAGCAGCCGCTGCGCCGTCTCCAGCTCCGAGATGCCCTCGGGAATCTGCAGTCGGCTCTGGATTTCAAAGTCGGGGGGCCAGTCAAAAGTGGTGTGGTAAATCTCTGCGATGAGAGGGTACGTGGTTGGTGACTGGCGAGGCCTCCGGGATCCCGCAGCGTGTGGCCCGGGTAGCGCCGGGGCAGCCGCCCACCCCAGCCGTCTGGCCTCGGGCTCCCGCCTGCTCCTCCTCAGAGGAGCAACCACAAAACGGCGGCTGCGCCCAGCCCAGGCAAGGACGCCTCCCGCCGGGCGCTGGGGTGGGCGGCGGCCCCTCCTCACAGCATCCAGCACAAGGCGGGGCTGGTATTACCCCCCGGGCACCGGGCAGAAAACAGGTCTCAGAGAGGCACCGTCCCGGGCCCCCACTGGACAGGCCAGGGCAGGGCCCCCACCCGCCCTGTCGGCCGTGGGGCCCGGGGAGCTCTCTGAGAGGCCCGAGGGCCCTTGGCTGTGATCTCTGGGGGCGGGGGAGGTGGCTGTACCTCCAGTTTTAGGGTCGATTCTCTTGCCCAAGTTTCTCTCGATCAGGACTGTGTCCGGAGCACTCAGCACAACTGGCGGAGGAGAGAGCAGCAAGGCCGGCGCTCAGAGCCCGCGGCCCTCACCCCTGCGGTGGACCCACGTGGACGCCGTCCCGCCCACAGGAAAGGCCTCTCCACAAGAGACCCGGACTCCTCGGCACCACCCAGGGCGGGAGCGGCCGGGGACACTCTCCTCGCGGGCACCGCGGGGGACGCCTTTGCCACATTTTGGATTCTTTCCTCCGGGGGGGTGTGGGGTGCGGGATCCCCGGAACACAGCCGCCGAGGCCCACACAGAGCCCACGTCTCTTAAGGACAAGCCCGAGAGCTCCCAGCCTGTGAGAGCTGCAGTGGCCGCCCTGGGCCCGCTCGGCCTGGCCCTCGGAGGGGGGCGCGCCGGCTACTCACTGACGTGCCTGGGGCTGATCCCGCAGGTCTGGATCATCAGCGTCTGGTCCCGCGTCTCGGGGATGCCGTCCAGAATCCAGCCCTGGGCAGAGGGGTTGGGGAGGAGCGTCGAGCTTTACTTGTGGGTTTGGGAATGATTAGAAGAGGAACGTAACGGCTTTCTAGAAAGACGAGACCGTGTCGGAGAAAGGGAAATAAAGGTCTCCGGCGGCTGCGCCCCTGCTTCACCCCGGTCCATCCGCGGGGACATGACGCTGTCCTGGCCGCTCGTGCCTGACCCCCCTGCACACGCCCCAGCTCCCACAGCTCTCCGACGAGGCCCCTTCACTGTCACCATCTTCAGGGGGTGCCGCGCCCCACAGGGAGGGGGCCCCCAGCCAGCTGCTACCACTGTGTAAACAACCACGTGTCTGTGCACACTGCTCTTGGCATAACTGGGATTATTTCCTGGAGTTTCTCAGACGCGGATTCCTGGGACAAGGAGCCACAGGGACAAGCTAAGCCTCACTTTTCTTGGTACAAGTCCCGAAGGCAGGCGAGGACCTAAGCTCCTGCTCTGCGGAGACCCCTTCCTGGTCCCCCTCGGGGGCTGGTTTACTGACTTTTCTTCACGGTTAGATGATGCACATCCGGAACTCACAGAATGTTCCAAGACACTGTTACTTCGATTTAAAAATGGAAAAAAAAAAAAGACTTTCATGAATTCTTGAAACCCGACTGTGAAAATAACACACCGCCGTCACGGGCCGGGAAGCACCATTTAACACTGCAACTCCACAGCCAGGGAAAGCAGGTGGGGGGAGCTCTGGAAGGTGAGACAAGCCACACATGGCCGCGGCCTCCACCTGCAGCAACGGGGACGCCATGCGCAGAGGCCAAGGCTTCCGACGCTGGCTCCCAGGAGGGGACACCCTTGCGGTAGACACCCCCGCGGTAGACACCCCCAGGCATGATGAGAACTCGGTGGCTTCAAGGTCAGAGGACGGACGGACGGAGGGGTGAGCCGAATTCAAGGTCCCGATCACTGTTGCTTTGCAGGATCGTGGTGGGGTCGAGGTCAGAACTGCCTTCCTTAACACGAGCAAACAAAAACGAGCCCGCACACCCTCAGTATTAAAGTATTTAGGTTCCAGTCGCCTCAACTTACCGCTTAAAAAAAGGTAAACAAATGTACAGAGGAAAGAGTGCTGGGGAACAACCAGGCATGCTCTCATTAATTTCTTAAATTATACAGGAAAACCCACTGCCACAGAGCCTCCGGTTTCTAGAACTAATGAAGCAAAAGTGCAAAAAAAAAATTGGTAACAGCCTTTCGCTCCCCCAAGTCCCTGTTCCAGCCAGCCAAGCGCCGCTGCAGCACTTAAAAGAGCCATCGTGCCCGGGCCACAGGAAGCGGGGGGCGGGCGGGGGCTCCCTCCAGCTCTGCCAGCCTAACCGGCATCTCCTGAGCTTCATCTAATTCGGACCCCTTATTTTTTCTTTATTTGAAGGGGATGGTTGGGGAGCCCACAATTGCTCCTTCTAGAGGGAGGGTCGGTGACTCTGCTCGGTCCCCTTTTCAAGCTGAAGGGAGGCTGGCGCTCCGGCTGGCTCGGCACCGAGAAGGCCCCTGCTTTTAATATTGCATTACCGAGCATCATTATCATCTCGCCCATAAATTTGCAGCTGCTATCAGTATGTGGTCCAGAGCTTTTAGAACTATTCAAGGGAACAGCTCCCACCGACTTCTCGCTGGAGAAAGCAGAACTTCCAATTACACAGGAAAAGTGCAGCAAAATGAGGAACATCTCCCTAATTAGCCTGGCCTCACTGGTGCAGAAGTGAAATTTAGAAAAAGAAGAGGGAAGGGTCTGAGTGGATTCCAGGCCCCCGGCTCCCCAGCTCTCCAGTGGCGCCTTGCTTCCCTTCCCCTGCGGCCCACAAGGCGAGGCCGGCACAGTGACCACCGGCTCCCGCAGGGCTCTGCCAGGGCGCGGCGGTCCTGAGCGGCCGGCTGGCGCTTGGGAAAGACTGTCTTTTACAGCCATTCTGTGCCAGCCCCCAGCTGCGGAAGGGACTGCACCTTGCAGGGGCGGCAGCAATTTGGGCTGAGAACCAGTTCATGGTCACAAACTCTGGCAGAGCAGGAAGTCGTAACTGGGTGAACAGCACCCGTTGCTGCCGAGAGGGGCCGCCGGGCCTTGGGGACGCGCCCTGCATCCTCGGGCCTGCCGCCCCGGCGTGGCTGGTGCAGAGGCGGCAGTCCGCCCTAATTAGAATACATATCCATCGAGCTGCCACTTCCGAGCGCGTCTGCTGCGCTCGGCTGCGGCTTTGTTTGAGCAGGTTAATTGATATTCTGGTGCCTCCGCGCGCCGTACCCCCGCGGCTGGGTTCTGTTTTATCACACATCAAAAAGGCCGTATGCTCAGGGCACCCCGAGCACCAGCGCAGTGCTGGAGGTCTGCACAGCTGCGAGGGGTATGGTATCACAGGAGGGACAAGCGCCGAGCAGATGTCACAGATGAAAAAAAGGAGAGAAGCAGCCAACCCGCCTGGGAGCCCGCGCGCGGCCCGCAGGGCGCGGCCAGAGCCCGGCCGCTCAGCCGCCCTCCTGACTGCTATTAAAGCGGGATTAGCGCCTTCACACGTCGGAATCGCGCCCTCTGGGCCCTCTGCCTTTGTGATGCGTTGCCCCGTCTCCTCCCCTCTCCTCCAACGATCACAGCGGGGCTGGCTGGGATCCCCCAGGACGCCCCCAACCAGCTCCAAGTGCAGATGCGGGAGGCTGCGCTGGAGGCCCTGCCTCGCCGGTCAGGAGGCAGCTGCAGCTCAAGGCCCGGCCCCCGCGTGAGGAAACCACTCATGCCTGAGCCAGGGGAGCAGCACTGGGTGTGCCACAGGCCCCCGGCCAAGCCTTCTTTTCCTAAAATAATATAATGTGGTTTCCCAATATGTGAAAGAGAATAAAAGGAGCCAGAAAGGAAACGCGTCCTAAGAGACAGCGCTCGTGAGACGAGTGTTCTGACGGGGGTTGGAGAGAGTTTGGGGACATGTCAAAAAGTTGGCGCTGCTCCATGACCAGACACTGAGAGCCTGCCCTCAAAGCTGGTGACGCCCCCATAGCAGACCCCCCCAGGCTGCTCACGCCCCCACACCAGCCCCCTCAAAGCTGGGGATACTCCCACACCGGACCCCCAAAGCTGGCGATGCCCCCACACCAGACCCCCCAAGATAGTGTCGCCCCCGCCCTGGAGTCCTCCAAGCTAGCAAGCAAGGATCTGTATTTCTGCTTAATCTCGAACATAAGCAGCACCGCTGGCTCCGGACACGGGGACACGCACTGGTGGGGGCAGCACCGCTGACTCCATGCATGGACGGGGACATGCACGGGTGGGGCAGGGTGGGCTCCCACCAGGACCTGACCCCACAGTGCCCGCTGCTCCTGGGTGCCCGCCACACACAGGCACAGAGGGGACATCTCTGAGTCCCGCCCCGGCTGGCCAGCGACACATAGGGCCGCCTGTCTCCTGGGCCTGCAGAAGGGCTGGCATTTAGCAAAGCACAGGCGGAAGAATTCAGAGGCCTTTTTATTGGTTCGCAAATGGCTAAAAAAGAATATTCTAAAGTCAAATCCGCACCCAATGTCTCCCCTGAAGCCGCTCCTCGGAGGAAGGAGAGTTTGAAGACACACTGCCCTCCCCAGATGGGAGGCACCGTGATGTAGAGACAACTGACTTCTGGTCCACATCTGGTTCCGGTTCCGATGTGGGGCCGGAGGTCCTGGTTGACAGAGATATAGAAAATCTACCCAGATCACGGGTGCAGGGCCTGCGGAAGCCTCGAGCCTGGGGTGCAGACCCAGCTCCTCAGAAGCCTGAGCCCTTTATGGGGTGACAGCAGCTCAGGGGTCGGCAGCCCAGGTGTGACTTCCAACGACCACGTTCTTGTTCTTCGGGTCTGGGGACCCTGGGGGCGCTATTCCCCTCTGCCGGGAGGTCACGCCAGGACTGGGGCGAGCACACAGCCACACACCGGGGAGCAGACACATGATGCAAACACATGATGTGCAAACACTGTGGCTGCGGGTCTTTCCCGGCAGCCACAACTCTGAGAAAGTGAAGTGCGGGGCTCCCCGGCTGCTTCCAGGAGGCTCTTCTCCAGGACGCAGAGCTTCGTGTGAAGCGCACACCGAGAAGGCGTCGAGGGCATCGGGCATCCCCTACCGCCTGCAAGGTGTCTTCCGAGCAGGGACCATAAGCGCCCAAGCACAGCCGAGAGCGCAGGGCCTAGGAATCTGCGCAGGATCTCTGGAGGCCTCCAGGACCATCGCCCGCCCCCAGGGGTCTTTGGACAGAAAACATCACGGGTGGTGGTGCGCTCGTTGCCTCGTTTGGGTATGGTGTTGGCGTGCGTGGCTCAGCCACCTCAGCTTCCACGCCCAGGTCCTCTTGGCAGGCGATGCTGGATCAGATGGGGAGCCTGGCCTCACTTAGCAGCCGGGAAACCATGTCCCGAGCTGAGGGATGGCATGGCCAGGCCTGCGTGTGAGGGCTCAGGATGAAGAGCCACTGCATAGACCACGGGCGCCACGTGTGGCTCAGCCTCCGGCATCATGTGTTTGCACACGTAACACTAACTGCCCAAACCCACTCTAGGCCTGCAGGCGGGGCTTGGAGCCCTGGCCTCTTCCTCTGCCCTTCCCTGGGGGTGTCCCCAGCTCCGGCCTCTGGACCCGGCCCCACTGCCCAGGGTGCCCTGACTGCGGTCTCCAGTCCAAACCCCTTCCTGCTTCACAGCTCCTGGAGGGATGTTTCTGCCCACATATGCTCAAGGCGCGCAAACATCTAACCTGTCTCGCGTCCGGGCACCCATTTTGCAGTCCCCACTGCAGCCACAGGGGCCAGGGATGCACCCGGTGCATCCGACACCCTCAGGGTGCCTGGGCTGAGGCTGCTTGGCACACAGACGGGGGCCAACCACCGCCTACCCCGCCAGTGCAGAAACGCCCACACAAGAGGGAGCTGCCAGGGTGTCACTGGGCTGCCAAGGGGCCGCGCAGTCCCCAGCCCGACCTGGCCTGACGCCTGTCATAAGTTTTCT